CTGAGCCAAAATCAAGAGTCAGATGCTTAACCAACTGAGCCAACAGGAATTTTATTTTCATCTCATAAAATTCTCCCCATCTACCCCTGTGAGACGCAAATTACTATCGCTCCATTTTTAAGATAAAGAAACTGAGTCACAGAAGGGTGAAGTCCCTTGTCTGAAATTACATAAATCAAAACGGGCAGAACCAGGACTGAAACTTAGACTCTGGAGTGCCAGGAGGGCTTAACCACTATTCTGTACCGCCTCTACTTTTCAGAAAGTATTCCATGGACCCTATGATATTGAATTTCTAAGGATGGCCACCATTAATTCCTTATTTCCCTGAATGACATACTGCCCATCCCATCAAGGTTGGGATAAAAATACAGATGCCTAGTTAAAATCGAATTTCAGGGGCACCTGGATGGCTCAGTCAGTTAAGCATCTGACTTCGGCTCAGGTCATGATCTCACGGTTCATGGGTTCGAGCCCCACGTCAGGCTCTGTGCTGACAGCTCAGAGCCTGGAGCCTGCTTTGGATTCTGTGTCTCCCTCTCTCTCTCTGTCCCTTCCCTGCCTATGTTCTGTCTCTCTCTTTCTAAAACAAACATTAAAAAAAATTAATTATCTTTTAAATCAAACTTCAGACAGACAACTAATAATTTTTAGCATAAATACATCCCAATAGTGCATAAGACATATTTATACTAAAAAATACTCTATTTTGTTTATTTGAAATTCGGTAAGGTAGGTACCATGTATTTTCTCTGGCAACCTCATTTGTGACTTGCTCTGACCAATAACACACAGCAGAAGTGAAAATGTGCCGATTTTAGGGCCGACACTTAAAGATCTTAAAGCCTTAAAGTTGGGGGGTGCCTGGGTGGCTCAGTCGGTTGGGTGTCCGACTTCAGCGCAGGTCATGATCTCACGGTTCATGGGTTCGAGCCCCGCATTGGACTCTCTGCTGTCACTGTGGAGCCTGCTTCAGATCCTCCATCTCCCTCTCTTTCTGTCTCTTCCTGACTTGTGCTCTATCAAAAATGAATGAACATCAAAAAAAAAAAAAGAAGAAGAAGAAGGCTGTTGGTGTCCACTTCTTCCATCTTGGAAGCCCACCCTAAGACCACCGTGCTGTGAGAAAGCCCAGCTAGCCATGTGGAAAGGCCCTATGGAAAAGCACGAAGCCCCAGGTGTTGAGAAAGGCCTTGACCTCCCAGGACGGCCCAACTGCACGCAACTGTGTGAGTGATGTCTGTCCACACCGTGTGGAGGACAACGATTTGCCCCAAGTCCTACTCTAACTCCTAACCCTAACTGTGAAAAATAACCAATGAATGTGGTTTTAAGATACTACATTTTAAGAAGTTTTCTTATATAGTAAAAATAACTGGAATGACCGCTAACGGATTGTCCTTGAATTGTTTGGAATTCGGTCCCCAAGCCTCGCGGGGTTCTCTGCAGCGGCTCCATCAGGCGTGGCCTCCATGCCGGTGCAGCCGTGTCCCAGCCCGCTTTCATTTCCCTGGGGGAGGCCGCACATCCTTGAGCTCCGAGCACGGCATTTGGAGACAGCCAGACCGGGCACCAGATTCCTGTTCTGCCACACAAAGCTGTATGACCTTGGTCTCTTTGTCTGAAAAATGAGTCTGTCAATAGTAATTACCTCATAACGTGGTTTGTGAGGATTAAAAGAGATTTAATGTCTATAAAGCACTTAGAACGATGTCAGGCCCTTAATTAGCGTTCAGCACGTCTTAGCCGCTGTCATTAGTCGTGCTTACACTGAATCATTTCTCCAACCTTGTTATTTTATTATTTTTATCTCCCTGATTATTTCTCTGCAGGGGAGGAAGTTTCGTGAAGCCACAAGTTCACATAACCATGAGGCTGGCGGGGTCCCCAGCAACAAACCAGCAACAAGCTCGTTCTATATGTCGTGAGCAGAGAAACGCAGCCAGGTGTCAGGCCTGCCCAAGCTCCCGGTCTGCCGTGCCCCTGCCTGACTCCCTTTCCTCCAGGCCCAGCAGTCACTGGGAAATCACAAGCCCCCCGATACAGCCCAGACCTATCAGGTAATGAAGCCGCCTCCTGGGCCCCCAAGTCACACTCCCAAATGTCCTTCTCTTTCCCCGTGAACCAGAAACGCTGTGCCAGAAAAAAAATGTAGATTCACAAGAACAGAAGTTAAGGGGTTCTAAAATCAGACAAGACCCATGTCTCAATCCGGTTTTACAACATACAATCTGGCATGATTTGTAAACAAGAAAGTTGGGTAAAGATTAAATACTCAAATGACAAAAAAAAAAAAACTAGCACAAAGTGTGCTGTTGAGTAGATGCTTGTTTGAAACACTGTCCCCCTGGCCCCCAGCATTATCCATTCTGGGCATTGAACAAGGCACTGACTGCTGGTTATCAGTGATGTGGTCACGCAAAATGACAGCTTCATTTTGCTCTCCTGTGGCCCCAGCATCACTAGTCCCTACTTCCGTTCCTCTTCTCAACCACCAACCCACCTGTGCTGATGTTGCCAAGGCCAGGGCCATTTTCTTCCTTCTGCTTTCTCTTCCTCCCCATCGTGGGCATCCTAGTCACCTTCTGAAGGAGGCAGCCCCTGAAGCCCGAAGCAAACCTCTCTCCATCTGTACCTTTCCTCGTCCCATCTTCTTCCATGATGCTCACACATGCTCAGCCAGCCTCTCGTGATGGGCCGACCGTGCGGTCCTGTGGTGGGTCAGAGCCCAGGACAGGTTATCAGATCCTGAAGAGCAGAGTGGTGACTCCAAACCAAGGACGAGCCACGGGTCAAATGCCAGGAGAGGAAGATGAGATTTCCAAACCTGGCTCAAAACAAGGGAAGCAGCATCGTGAGTGAAATCAGGGTCAGGCATGAAGTTAGACCAACAGGTGGTGCCTTGGGAGCAAGACAAAGATTGGATTTCTTGCCCTTAAGCCCACTGGGAAGTCAAACCTAGCTCATGAGGAGCCAGACTCAGAGTAAAGGGGTGTTTCCAGATCCCTCCAGACTTCTGTTTATGCACAAAATGTGTTTGGAGGTAAGCTTCTTTTGAAGCTTTGAGAAGCTCCTCTCGGATCCTGGCCCCTGACATTGATCTGTCTTCCACATCTCTATTCCCAGATAAGAGACAATGGCCAAAGACAGCACTCCAGAGGCTCAGGGAACTATACTCTTTTCCAGCCCCTGTTTTCTTACCAGTTCCTGTTTTGGTCATGAGACTTCCACTTCCGGGAGCGGCATGCAAACACAAGTACATTCATCACTGGGACACTGTGGAATTATCGCTCACAGACTCTCCTCACCGCTGTTACCTGGCTGGCATCTCACCTCCCCAGAGGAACCGCAGGCTCACTAAAACGGGAGCCCAGCCTCATACTTGGTTTCATCCCCACAGAGCCTGGAACAGTGCTGGGTACTTAATCGGGGCATATTTATTCATATATATCTGATCTCTTCCTCTTTGGGTTTTAGGTCTTGGGGCAGGAGATGACAAAAAGAACACCAGCTGTCATTCCTCTCTAAGGCCCAGGCCTAACAAAATACTACTGCTACCTGAGGAAGGCATTTTCCCAACAATGATAATTAATAGCTAATATTTATTGAACATATATTATGTCCCAAGCATTCTGGGAAGCACATTGTACACACTATCTCATTTAACCCTCGTAGGAATTCTGTGAGTAGGTTGTACCCACAGCATATATGAGGAAACTGAGAGCCCACGAACTCTAAGGTCAAATATAGTTCATAATTGGTAGACCCAAGCCCAGCTGATTCCAAAGCCTAGGCTCTACTCTAGCGCCTAAAACCCCTTGGATTTTTGCAGGAAATTATGCAGCAAGTTTATTTCCACTGCTTCCAAAAATTCCAAGGAGCTGCTCCCATATTTCCCACCAGAGCCCAGCTTTCTGCTAGTCCCATAGAGTCTTGACTCCTATCAGGAGTTCCCAGTTTCTACTGAGCACCTGAAAAGGAACCTGGAACAGGAAAAACAGAAGTGGGATAGAAAAGGCAGAAGGAATTAGAGCATGAAAGGACCCTTGGTACCCCTGCCTTGGCCCCAGCCCTCTTGCCACAAAAGAAAGCCCCAATGCCCTAAGCCGGTTACCTCTCTGTCAAGCCCTTCCCGGGCCCCATCTTAATGCTAGCGCAGAGTTTTCTCTGTGAGTCATAACAAAGAATAAAGGCACTGTTTCTTTCGTGGCCAGTCCAGACTGGTTTCAAGAGTGATTCATTGATTGATCAAAAAATTGAAGCTTAGAGAAGGAGTGATTTTGCCTAAAGTTTAGCATCTCTCCTCCAAATCAGAGAAGGGTCTGTTGTCCCAGAACCTCAATTATTCCTGGGGCAAAAGGAGGTATTAAGAAAACGTGACCTATGTAAGGTGTCTTCCAGTCTTGACATTCACATGAAATTACCAGTGAACCTGTGTACCCATAAAAGACAGGGGCGCCTGGGTGGCGCAGTCGGTTAAGCGTCCGACTTCAGCCAGGTCACGATCTCGCGGTCCGTGAGTTCGAGCCCCGCGTCGGGCTCTGGGCTGATGGCTCAGAGCCTGGAGCCTGTTTCCGATTCTGTGTCTCCCTCTCTCTCCGCCCCTCCCCCGTTCATGCTCTGTCTCTCTCTGTCCCAAAAATAAATAAACGTTGAAAAAAAAAAAAAATTAAAAGATATACTGACAAGGTAACCTTCACAAGGCATTGTAACTCTACTTTTCTTCCTGATTATCAAGTAGTCAAAACAGGAAGCAAAAGGGCCAAAGAAAAGGAAGGGAAGGGAAGGGAAGGGAGAAGGGAGGGGAAGGGAGGGGAGAGGAGGGGAGGGGAGGGGAAGAGGGAAGAGGGAGGAGGAAAAGCAAGAAGCAAAATGTTCTCAAGTACAGTAACCCTGGGTAAAGAATAGATAGTCAACTGATAACTCTTCAAAAGACCACCAGAAAACCTTTACTCAGCCGAAGCTTGTCTTTGCCCGGCCTACTATAGTAAGAGAACGCACAGAATCTTGATGTCTCAAAAGGAGGAAATCAATGGAAGATATTTACAGAGTTTGGGGGTCTGGACCCAAGTGGGTTAAGGTAGATTTAAAAAAAAAATTTTTGTTTTTAACGTTTATTCATTATTGAGAGATAGAGAGAAACTGAGCACGAGCAGGGGAGGGGCAGAGAGAGGGGGAGACACAGAATCCAAAGCAGGTTCCAGGTTCCGAGCCGTCAGCACAGAGCCCGACACGGGGCTCGAACTCACAAACCATAAGATCATGACCTGAGCCCAAGTCAGACACCCAACTGACTGAGCCACCCAGGTGCCTCAAGGTAGATTTTTTTTTTAATATTTTTTGTTACTGTTTTTTTATTAAATTTTTTTTAATGTTTTATTTATTTTTGAGAGAGTGAGAGAGAGAGACAGAGAATAAACAGAGGAGGAGCAGAGAGGGGGACACAGAATCCAAAGCAGGCTCCAGGCTCTGAGTTGTCAGCACAGAGCCCAACACGGAGCTCGAAGACACAGACCATGAGATCATGACCTGAGCCAAAGTCAGACACTTAACCAACTGAGCCACCCAGGTGCCCCACTTATGTCATTGTTTTTAAACCAATCCCTACAACCCAACATGGGACTGGAACTCACAACCTCAAGATGCAGAGTTTGCATGCTCTTAAATGAGCCAGCCAGGCACCCCTAAAGTGGATCTTTCAAATCAGGGAGCACATCAGGACTGGATGAAGTTTGTGACATTATAGTTTAGGATCCGCAGGTACAGGGAAGGCAGGGCCTGAAAGCCAACCTTGAGAAGGAAGGTTTACCGAGGAGGACATTGTTTCCCCCGGGTGAGCAATCTACAGTCTGAATAGGACAGCTGTTTGCCCAGACGAGCAAACTATTTGTTTACATAAAATTGGCTTTTTCAGGGATTTCATGAAGCAAGCAGTGAAGTTACTTCTTCGGTTATGGTCCTATCTTCTGGGCTGAATTTCCTGGAACAATAGTTACGGCCTGTCGCCGTAGGAAGTCACTGCTCTCACTCCTGAGAGTTAAGCCATGTGCATACAGAGGATCTCCATTCTCAAATTCAACTTATTGTTGTATTTATTTATTTATTTATAATGTTTATTTATTTTTGAGAGAGAGAAAAAGAGCATGCTCAGGGGAGGGGCAGCAAGAGAGGGGGAAAGAGAGAGAATCCTAAGCAGGCTCTACGCTCAGTGCATGGAGCACGAGGCACTGCTCAGTCTCACAACAGCAAGATCATGACCTGAGCCAAAATCAAGAGTCCGTCGTTTAACCAACTGAGCCACCCAGTTGCCTCTCAACTTCTTATTTTAAAACACCACATGGGGGGAGGGGGGCGGCGCCTGGGTGGTGCTCAGTCCGTTGGCTCAGGTCACAATCTCGCAGTTCGTGAGTTCAAGTCCCGCATAGGGCTCTGCACTGACAACTCAGAGACTAGAACCTGCTTCCGATTCTGTGTCCCCTTCTTTCTCTGCAGCCCCCCCCCCCCCCCCCCCCCCACCAACTCAAGCTCTGTCTCTCTCTCTCTGTCTCTCAAAAATAAACATTAAAAAATGTTAAGAACAGTCACCACTGTGGGGCATGCTTCTATTCCCCTGGAGACAGAACATCACCTCACTTCCCCCACCAATGACATTATGACTGGATGACATAATTCTGAATGTTTCTCCCACCCCACCCCACCAAATGAGCAGGGACAGTCAATAGGGAGATCATTTCAGCTGGAAAAGAGCTCACTGCCATGTGCACATAGCCTATCTGTGCCCCAGATGGTTAATGAGTAATCAGCACTCATCCAAAAGGATCCAGTTCCCCCAGTGGGCCTGGGAACAGCAGTACATTATTAGGGCATTGTTAGGTAATTTTAGGATATATGCTTTGTTCAGAAAGACCAGGTCTCCAGCCCCAGAGTCACTGGCTGTGTATAACTTTTAGCAAGCATCTTCCCTCTGGGCCTCTTTTCCCACTCTCAGACACGTTGGGTGGGATGTTTCCCAGGAGTCCTTTCAACTCTGGCTTTCTGGTTCTTTGATCTGGCCCTGCTAATGTATTTCCACCCTTGATCAAAAAAGACGCAAAGATAGTAAAGGACATCCTTTATGGCTATG